CATTGTATGATATAATCTGATATCGCTGATATAGATATATATGCATTTCATTTTATTTTTGTCAAAAGAATTGAAACGTTCGGACAGCTTTTTGAGATATTGCTAATTATAGTTGTTCACAAAAAAACAACAACTATTGCTATAGATTGAGTTTTGTCCAAATAATATTAAATGTTAAGTATACAAAAACAATTCAATTCATCTGTTTACTTGAAGTATTCATTTCCATTTTCTTTCAAATAGACATATCTCTTGTTTCTTTTGTGTTTATTCTTTTTGCTGTCTGTCCACTAATTAATTTGCTATTGAATTGCGTATATTCTTCTTGTTTCTATTTTCTTTAATTGATCTGGTGATCAAAAGTATTATTTTTAGTGATAATTTCAGTATGAATAAATTTGGTGATCAAAAGTTACAAATATAAAGTATAATACTGCTATATGTTTACTATATAATTTAACACCTACATTTATCAAAATTAAATTGTGGAAGAATAAATTCACATCATATCAACAACATCTTACATATCAGCGTGAATGTTTAAAATCGGAATTTAACAGCAGACACAATGACTCATTGTTTTAGCAGTATTATACTTTATATTTAAAACTTTATTTCCAACTGCTCATTCAAATAATTTGATCAAAAGTTACTTTTTGTTGATCATTTTTCCCAATTTGATTTATGGATATTAGATATTTTAGGTTCAAGTGCATATATCTATCTATTATATATTAAAGTGCAAACCACGCGTTACAGAATATAAAACTAAAACGAATGATCGTAAATTACTTTTTATCAAAAAATAATTCTGGTGTCACGAAATATGTCAGACAAAAGCGACATTAAAGTAGGAAAACACTCTCAATAGAATGGCAGCAACCCAAGTTGTAAAAATGTTAATTCCTTCGACGAACAGAGAAGAGAAATTTCAAACACGCCTCTGGACACGGTTCAAAAACTTCCATTTTAAACATAATGGTGGGAAACGAGCTAATAATGAATTGATATTTTTTCGCTGTTTAGCTATTTTACTTTACTTAGTACCGATCATTGTGGACATTCTTCTTTACTCAAGTTCAGTTCAACCATCATTTTCATTACAATTTCTTTTTGGCGCAAAATTTCCATTTTATGATATTGCATCAGTTATTTATGGTAGTGGTGCTGTTGCATTTGGCCTGTCGATTGAAATTTATGTGTTTATTCCAGTTTCGATTATGAACTGCGTATTGGTAATAACGCAATGTGACAGTCAAAAGGAAACAATCAGAGTAGCTACTTGGGTAATTAGAACAATGTGCTTGTTGGTTTGCGTTGAACTTGGATACGGAAATTTTAAAAAATTTCAACGACATCATGAAAATTTTAATTCATCAGCTAGTTCAATGTTACGACAATCATTATTTTTTACTGTCACAATGCTGTTTTTGGTTGCTCCTGCTCTTCGTACTGTTTATAATAGTATCAATCAGCAGTGCTTATACAACACTAGTCATTGTTATGTAATCGAATTGTATGAGCCCTTATTTAATAACACGCACTCATCCTCATGTCAGGAAGAACACATTGAATACATAACTAGTCGTGAAGAATTGCGAATTTTAAGAAATCTCGTGTTAATAAATATTGCATTTTATGCACTATTTAATACATCATTTCTTGGCATGGGG